TCATGCTGCTCTAACAAAATACTACAAGCTGGTTAATTATTAGTGTAATAGTAGATACTTTTTTCTCATAGTTTTAGAGGCAGGAAGTTCCAAGGTGTGGAACTTAGAGATTTGGTGTCTGATAAGAGCTTGCTGTTGGTTTACCAGCCAGTACCTTCTTGCTGCATCCTCATCCTCATGTGGAGGGATGGAGGAACAATATCACTTGACATTGCAGAATGGGAAGAGCTGTTCTTTCAGCCTCCTTTTCTACACACACACACACACACACACACACACACACACACACACACACACACACACGACAGGTTTATATACCCCTGGCTGTCCTGGAACTCTCTATGTAGACCAGACAGGTATTGACCTCACAGAGATCTGCTGGCCTCTGCCTCCTGCTGGGATTAAAGATGTGTTCAAGTAGGGTGTGGTGGCACACCCCAGGCAGGCAAAACTCTGAGTTTGAGGCCAGTTTGGACTACAGAGTGAGTTCTAGGACAGCCATGTCTATACAGAGAAACCCTGTCTCAAAACAAACACACACAAACAGACACACAGACAAAGAAAAAAGGTTGTGCCACCATGCCAGCCATTCAACCTCTTTTAATGAGCAGCATTCCATTCAAGAGAGTGGATTACTTCGTAAAAGTAACTTAATCTCTTCCTAGGAATCTACACCACTTACTGATATCTCTTTGGTTTAAGTTCTAATGTGAGCTTAAGAGAAATAGATATATTACAAATGGTATCAAGCAATGTATGTAAATTCCCAATAAGATTCCCCCGTTAAAAACATTGGCCTTGCCAGGCGGTGGTGGCGCATGCCTTTAATCCCAGCACTCGGGAGGCAGAGGCAGGCGGATCTCTGTGAGTTCGACGCCAGCCTGGTCTACAAAGTGAGTTGCAGGAAAGGCGCAAAACTACACAGAGAAACCCTGTCTTGAAAAACAAAAAAACAAAAAAACAAAAAAAAAACATTGGCCTATCCATATCATGGGGAAAAAAAAGTAATCATTAATATTGACTGTCAACCATTCGACTGAGAATTATCTAGGAGAGTAGAAAACAGGGGTCTAACCTAATGAGTTGATTAACCTCTTGACTGCGTCATAGAATTGTGGCATTATTAAGAGGAAGTTAAATTATGAGATAAATATGAGAGTCAGTCCAGCTGAGCATCGTTCCACCCCCACCCCCAAGGGAGCTTCCCATCAGAGAGTCTGATCCTCGAGGGCAAAAGATCTTCACCCAAAACTCTTTTAAGAAAGAGATGTATTTGGGGAGGAGGAGTCCAGGAGAGTGGCTGCCTCTGCCAGGGTGGAGGACAGCTGATAACCGAACAGGCACAGGGCTCATATAGGGATTCTTAGGGGTGGAGTTTGTCCAGGGAGAAGATTTTCAGGGAGGGAATGGGTCAGGTTTTGATCCTCTTGAGCTTGGACAAGCTCAGGGATTGTTGGCTTTCCTGTTCAGGGATTGGTTGGTTTCATGCTAGGTTGGTCAGGGGCAGATTTGGCTGTAGTTTCAGGGCCAGGGTGGATTTCTTTCACTGGCTCTGGTTCCAGGGCCAAAGTGTGTTTCTTTGGCTCTGGTTTCAGGGTTAGGGTGTGTTCTTTGGCTCTGGTCTGAGGGTTAGGGTGTGTTTCTTTGGTTCTGGTTTCAGGGCCAGGGTGGGTTTCTTTGGCTGGCCCTTTTACCCTACACAGACAGAAAACTGCTTCAGGTTTCCACTGGTGAATTGTCTCTGCTTAGAATGCTTCCAGAGCTTGCAGGCTCGACCCACATGTGCCCTGAAGTCCTTCAGCTGTGGCAGGCCAGGGTGTGGCATTGTTGGAAGTCCCAGAGGTCCTTGAGAGCATTGGCCAGTGCCTAGCACTGACAGGTGGACCTGTATGGGAAGCAAGACTCACATGAAGGCCAGTCTCAAAGTCCTTTTACCTGTTGGGATCAGCACAGAGGCTTGAGATGCAGCATCCCTAGAGCATGGCGGTGCGGTCCCTAGGGGCCACTGTCTAGTTTCGCTTCTTAAACTCTTTATGTATTTCAGTGCATGGGTCACCAGCTCACCAGGTCTTTAATTTTGGGGTATTTTGCACATTTTGACATAAATATTTTTCTGTTTTGTTCACAGGCAAAACATGTTAGGTTTGTAAATATTTTTCTTCTTTCACAACAATAATGTTCTTTAAGTCAAAACATGTTTGTTTATATTCATTTTGTCAACCAAATTGTTATTTCATAACAACATGACGTGTTTTCAACGCATTTTCCAAGTTACACAAAAAATGGTTTCACTTACGTTCCTATCACTAACTAATGCAACAAATAAGAAGGTAGCCAGTCTTGGGGCTGGAGAGATGATTCAGCATTAAGAGTGTGTAGTGTTCTTCCTGAGAACCTGAGTGGGTTCTGTGGGAGTTTGAAGGAGAATGGTCGCTATAGGCTCATATGTTTGAATGCTTGGCCCCCAGTTAGTGGAACTACTTGGGAAGGATTAGGAGGTATGGCCTTATTAGAGAAGAGGTATTACTGAAGAAGGGCTTTGAGGTTTCAAACGTGCATGCCAGGACTAGCCCCACCTCTGTCTGAAACTTGTGGGTCTGCTGTACACTCCCATCTACTGCTCCAGCACCACGCCTGTTTGCCTGCCTGCTGCCGTCTCCTCATCCCCATCATGGACTCACCTTCTGAAACTGTAAGCAAGCCTCCAGTGTTTTCCTCTGTAAGTTGTCCTGGTCCTGGTGCTTCACCACGGCAATAGAACTGTAACTAAGACAGGTTCCCAGCACCCCCAGCAGGGGGCTCACAACTCTCTGTAACTCCAACTCTGTGGGATCCAGTGTCCTCTTCTGACCTCCCTGGGCGCCTGCACCCATGTGCACTAACAAGTACTCATACACACTGAAGGGGACTCCCGCACATCAGGGGCTCCTTCCCAGACCCAGATTAGGCACAAACCACACCCAAACACCTGTTTTCACACAGAGATCCTTTATTAAGTGGGGAAGAAAAGTTAAGTGGCTGCCTTCTGACTCAGGCAGAAAACAGCAGCAAATGACATTGCAGGTGCAATTTTTAAGCACAGAAGAAAGGGCTGTGTTAGAAGGGGCTAGGACATGGTGGTGTTATGCCCAGATCACAGGGACCCCCAAAAGACCACCACAGAGACCGAATCCCAAATGTAAAAGCAAAGAGCCTTTATTTTCAAGCTCTGAGCTTGGTCTCTGTCTGTCCCTCACAGCGGTGAGTGCAGAGAGTCCTGAGCCCAGGCAGGGTGGAGTTTATATCATAGCAGAGGTTGGGGTGAGGGGATTTCCAGGGCTCAGGACCCTGATTGGTTGACATTTGTCGAGGGGTATAGGGAATATTTGGAATGTCAGGCATTTCCTCTTAGATGCAGGCCCCACTGGGTGGGGTCAGCTTATGGCTTTTCCTGGGTCCAGGTGTTGCCTGCCAGAAGGTGTGTCTGGGCCTCTGAGCCTGTCATGGCAGCTGTGTGGTCAAGCTGTTTTGGGGCTCCCCACAGTGGTAGAGGAGATAGAGGATGAGAGAGAAGGGAAGGGAACAAGGGATAGGGAGAAGGGATGTTTTTCTGAGAGGGACAAAGGACTGACTGCCTCTGGTTAGAGGAGACAGATGCGGCACATAGGCAAATGGTGTTTATATAGGTAAAACGAGAAACCCTGTGTTAGGATGAGGTGTTTAATTTTGATTGGACAGGTTAATTAGGTGAGCTAAAGGGGGCTTCTGATTGCCGGACTTCAATGCTTCCATAGCTGGACCTTGGTAGTCAGCCTTAGGAGGAGGGAGTGGCCAAATAAGGGAATAGACTTTAGTGTCTATCTTTAGGGATGGATGTGATCTAATGGGTTTTTGCAAGGCAGAGGGAATGGGGGAGAAGGGCAGGGCCTACCAGAGGCAGACTCACCACACTGGCCAGAGTCCTTTCACACACAATTTAAAACAAACTCTTCAAAGTAAAGGAAGCAACCAGTCTTTGCCCATGCAGAAATCTCTCAACAGTATTGAACTCATAGAAGGAAACATGCTTCACTTGACATTTGCAACTTTGTAGCAGGAAGTAATTTCAGCATTGAGATTGGTTTTAAAAATTAAGCTGCAGAATGGAAGGCTTGTTTAACAAATTCCTGACATTATGGAAAAGTATATTTATAGAGACTTTTCAAACTCTGCATCACTTGCCTGTAGAAGGACAAGGATGTGGCAGGCCCATGGTCACCTGTCCCATTTGTTGGATTTAAGGATTTTGTTTCTTTTGAGGCCACATTTCTGTCTTAGAAGTATTTGAAAACTGCTGTAAAAGATCCCTAAGCGCTTCCTTGCCTGCTCTGAAAACCACAAAAACAGAAAATGATCTCAAATTGCGGCAAGAAAAATTAAGTTATCCCCTCAAATTTCAGAATATATCCAGGAAAATTATTATGGTTAAGGCAAACTATATAATTTTCTTTTCTCTCGAGCTTTAAAGTTGCACAGACTCAGTTCTAAATGGACTCAAAGTTTCACCTGGGGAAATCTTACTGCAACAATCGTAACAATACAGAAACACAGACGAGGCAGAAATAAGTAGCTCTCAGGAAATAAGGAGATCGGGATAGGGTTCCACAGGTGACTCATTCCTGGTGTAAACACTGGAAAGTTACCTGACCATTCCTGCCTGTGGAGTCAGCCCATTAGCTAGTACAATCTAGAAGTGATATTGCTCTGTGTGTTTCAAAGCATAACCTGCAAGGGATGGTGGGAAAGGAATTAAGATGTGATAGGCCAACAAGGGTTTATTTTAAGAGTAGCCCAAAACTTGATAAGAATGAAGGTAAATATGTTGGGCTCAAAAAAAGGGTCAGTGATGGGAAGGGGAGAGCAGTCTGACGTAGCGTGGGCCCACCCTCCTGGTTCCAAGGAAAGAAAGAAGTGGATTTACTCATCTACTTCCAAAGGTCTTCAGTTACTGCTGGGTCTAGTCTGTGTTTCCTTCAATTCAGATCTTGTTCCACATCCCTGAATCATCATCTTTGAAATTATAAGACATGGAGGATGAAGATAAGACAGTTGGATGTCAGGAATCAAAGCCATCCACAGGGACCAGTCACACAGCTTCTGTGCATCAAGGACCACGGGTAAGATCTCCAGTCAAAGGCAGGAAATCCCAGCTGTTTCCCTAAGCATACTACTATGTGTTTCCAAGCTGAGAGAATTGTTTCTCCTCACTCTTTACCAGTCAGCTAACAATTTAGGTGACACATTCCCAAAATGCCAGCACTCAGAGAGTGATGTAGAAATACTATGAGTATGCAGCCAACCTGAGTTACCTAGTGAGACCCTGGAGAGGGGGAGGGGGGGGAGGAAGGGAGGGGGGAGGGAGGAAGGAAGGAAGGAAGGAAGGAAAATTCTCCTCATGCTTAATCCTCATGATCATATAGACCAGGGTGGATAATGTCTACCAGTTTCCCAGCTCAGGTCATTGGTAGCTGGTCCCACCCAAGGTTGGCAAAATAGCCTGTGAAATGCTGTGTGTTCCTGGCCTAAGCCCTAGGAGGATTTTTGGTCTTGCCATCCTTGCTCTCTTTCACTCTCCCTCCCCCTCCCCCTCCCCCTTCTTGAATATTGAGTACTTTGCTATATTTACCTGCTATGGTCTTGAATTATTATTGATTCCCCAGGGTCCAAGGGAGCTTTGCTATGTCCGGCGTGGGATATCAGGGAAAAAAAATCTACGTACTCTATGTTCTTATGACTTTTAACTTTATTCCTCTAAGACAAAATTACAACAATTTAGCTATTGTTCCACCAGGCATTCAAGGCAGGAGTAACTCTAGACATACCAAGCTCTATATCTGTCTACTTTATTTCTCTGGGATGAAATCCTGTCTCCATAACTACAGTTCCTTCCAGCTCCCCAGCTCATAGCCCAGGTGATGACTAAACTATGCTTTCAGCCTCATCTTAGTCCTCTGTATCCTCTTTCTCCATCTCTGCTGCTCTCTACTCCTGGCACTCAGAAAACTCTACTCCAGATCTGCTTGCCCTCTATGGAACTTCTGCCATCCTCTCTTCTCTCTCGCCATGCTGTTCTGTTCTTGTCTACAGAAAATGTCTGCCTTTTCTTTCCCTGGGCACCTTGTTCCCTGCCTCCTCAGGAATGTTGTTTTACCTCTCACCTTGATAGGTAAAAACCTCTTTTGTTTTCAGTCAAAGTGCTCTGGAGAACCACTAGGCCTCTTCAAGGCGAGGGGATGGTCTGAGCTTCACTAGCACAGGAAACAAAGCTAGGTGTCTCCTGCCAGTTTGTCTCCTAAGCTCAGCAGGGCAGTTAGTAACTTAGTAGGTTCAGCAGGTCTGGGGAGCTGAACTGTTTATTAATTGGTCTGGGCACGCAAGGTTTTATAGTAGAAGACAGCTGGAATATTAAAGGCTGGGTAACACCAAATATTCTTAATAAATGGCTTTGCCTTTTGACAGACCCTTGGCCAGTCAAAGTTCAGCTTTAATACACAGCTGAATCTCTATGATATATTCTTGCGGCCCTCAAGAAATTATGTCTTAATTATAGCAATTTTGGGGCCTAGTATTGTACAATGTAGCTTTATGTCTATGTGACTCAGTCATTTAAAATTCTAAACTAGGGGCTCATTGTTAAGTATTCTCCAGTGGTTCTTTTTCTACGCACTAGCTGACTTGTTGGTAATGAAGTTGTGTGTTTCTCTATAAGCTATTATCCTAGATTTTAATAATAGCAATTTGATTTGAAATGTGATAAGCCAATAGCTAAAAGATGCACGAAAATACAGTTTGAAAGATTTAAAAAGTTTGATTTAAATACAGGAGGAGAGAGTCATGAACCTCAAAGATGGGAATGAGCCAACAGAAGACAGCAATCTGCTCAACAGTGATGAAAAAAAGCCGCAGGAATTGGCAAGAGAATCCAGTCACCTGCAGAGTCTGAGACGGATACTGGCTTGCCCTCCACATGGCTGGCTGAGCAAAGTGATAACCAATGGTGTGTATATGGCAGGGATGAACTCAAAAAATAAAATAAAAAAGAAAGTCACAGTGAGAGTTTCCAAAACCATATGGTTAAAAGGACAAAAGAAATGTACTTCTGCCGGGCGGTGGTGGCACACGCCTTTAATCCTAGCACTCGGGAGGCAGAGGCAGGCGAATCTCTGTGAGTTCGAGGCCAGCCTGGTCTACAAAGCGAGTTCCAGGAAAGGCGCAAAGCTACACAGAGAAACCCTGTCTCGAAAAACCAAAACAAACAAACAAAAGAAATGTACTTCTTTCTTAAACTACTAAGTGGGACAGCTGACAGTGGTTGTGACTCTGCTCCACACAGTCATGCGGGGGAGTGAAAAACTCCACCATCTCAAACTGTGGTTTCGAAGGTGTCTGTGGCCACCACATTTGAGCTAGTATACTTTTGAGTCAAAAGAGCAGGGACTAGAGAACTTTTTCTAGATCTGAATAATTTCACACAATCCCTGTAGGCTCCAATGAGAACATAGACGTAATGTCTGGTTACCGGAGAAGCATTATGTAAATGTCGATGTCATTACAGCGAAAGCAGTGTGACTAATATTGAACAAAACAGTGATCACTTTATGCTTCTAATCATCTCCTGTCATTTTACAAGTAAGAATCTTGGTTTGCAATTCAACCATTTCTTTGTAAACTTTGAGAGTTTGGGGGAGGGAGAAGGATTTATCCAGACTGTTTTGGATATTGTTTCAGTTGAGATATTTTTGTCTTTTAGTCTATGAAGGTAACCTAAAATGCGTTAGAAATTTGATGAGTGTATACATGTTTATAATCAGTGGTACAATTGTTTGTTCACAGAGGGGGAGAGAGAGGTGGGGGGAGTTAGGAAAGGAGGGAAGGAAAGAGAGTGTGTGTGTGTGTGTGTGTGTGTGTGTGTGTGTGTGTGTGTGTATGTGTGTGTGTGTGTACACGCATGTGCACACGTGCATGCATGCACTTTCATGGTGAATGTTAACTGTGCAATAATACAAGAAAGAAGGGGTTGAAATCTTTCTATAAAAGTAAATTTTAAGACAGTTTTGGAAACTGTTGAGAAATGAAAACATAATTGCAATATATGTATGGCTTTCTATGTATTGTTTCCTGAAAACCTAGGCTCAATTCTCAGTTCCCAGTTACCTTGAGTGTGTGTGTGTCTGGGTGTGTGTGTGTGTGTGTGTGTGTGTGTGTGTGTGTGTGTGTGTGTGTATGTGTGTGTGTGTTGCTTTGTTTCAACAAAGGCCGCCTGTGTCGCTCAGGACTCATGATCCTCCTGCCTCAGCCACTCCAGTGCTGGGATTGCAACCCTGTACCACTCACCCAACCTGAGCTAAGTTTTTGGAGCTGCACTTTAGAAGGGGCTCTCACAGGGATTTTATATCATTTTCATACAGGACAATGAAAACAGATATAACATGTTATACTTTAGGCAGTGTATGTTTTTACTGGAAAAGTAAGATTCTGAACCAATGTGGGAAAAATTATTAAACTGTTTGGAACACAGCAAACCAACTGAAGAGGCCGCACATAATTTGATACTTCTTTTCTCCTTTATATTACTTTTAAAAAATTTACCACTGAAAATATGACACAAAACTAGTTAAAAAATTTATAACAAAAACAGATACTGATTCCCCAAGGAATATTTAAAAATGAATAATGTGATTTAAGAACTCATTTTTATTTTTATCCTTTTTAGCATTTTGTGGCATTGCATGCTTCTGTATGTGCATGTGTGTGTTTATGCACTAGTATGCATGTGTGTGGAGGCCAGAGGTTGATGTTGGGTCTTCCTTTATCACTCTCCACTTTATATATTGAGGCTGGTACCTCACTCTTTGCATGACTTGGCTCCTGGGCCCTGACTAGGGATTGACCTAACTGGGGAGGCGTGGATGTGAAAACACACACACAGAGAAAAGCTGGAATCAGGTGGGCCGGGCTCTCTGATGGAGAAGCTGCCGTACCTGGGGTGCTCAGCATGTTTATTGTGTCCAGCTGAACATGGAAGAGGGCTTATTAAGTACAAATAAACAAGGAGTCAGGGTTATTACATACAGCTGAACAAGGAGACAGGTTTCGCTTACCTGAGTGGGAGCAGACTCTGTGGGGAGCAGTCTTCGGGCTGTGAACATCCAGGGAAAAGGCTATAGTAGACACACTGTCAACATTTGCACTTGGATGGGAAGACGGCTTTGCTGTCCCTTTGAGCTTCACATGGGGGAGGTTTTGCTACTCCATGGGGCTGAGGCATTGGTCCTTGACATGGCCATGCCCAGATCAGCAACACACATTCCCTGAGAATTTCACTGGCTTCCTACAGCAGGGTCTGGTTTGGGTCCACTGATTCACCTGATGTATCTAGCCAGCTTGTTCTGGGATCCCATCTGTGTCCGGAGCATTGGAATTACAGGTAGATTGTGTCAGCACTCACCTGCTAGGGATCCGAACTCTCATTCTCACACTTGCTCGGCAAACACTTTACTCGCTGAGTGCCCTCTCCAGCCTCAGAACTCACTTTTAAATTTAGAATTGTTCAGAAACATTCCGGGAAAGTGAGGGCTCCTGAGGGCTCCTGGTAGATAAGCATGTGCTCACTGTTTCCCTACATTTCTACTTCTGAGGTTGGTGGCTTTGTTCTGTATTCGCTCCTGTGTCATTTAACGTAATATACAAACGCTTCCTGGGAAGTAATTATTACACAAAAGTTATGTTTCTCCAAAATCTTAAATGACGAATAAATTATTGACTGAGTTAAACCTGATTTAGAGATACCTTATAAATATACACATAAGTAACATTTACAATTGTATTTCAGGTTTTGGGAATGAAAGGAGAGTTAGAGACTTTTAAAGTGATCTTAGCATGGAAAAATGAAAACTCTTACCTCTATGAGTGGAATTATTGAAAAGTTCAGTTTATGCTTTAATAAAGTCGGACGTAACAGCTGGCAAGTCGTGCCCTCCATCCTGCCTGTAACATTTTCTGGTAATCTTAGCTTGTGTACACCATTGGAAAATACTGAAAGTGCCTTAGATATTTCACTGGGATAAGTGCTTACATCTCTGAAAAAAAATTTTTGTGAGGTTTTAGAAAAGGGGGCCTTAGCTTGGTCACTGGGTTAATTACCTTTCTCATTTTGTGGGAACATAGCAATAGATCATGTTCTTAATTTTTTTAAGTGTGATAATTCTGAGCAAACATTGACGGTCGAAGAAGTGATGGTTAATGTTTAATTCAGGGCAGAACTAGATGCTGGAGTGTAACTAGAGTGCAAATGTTCTCAAGTCTCTACTAAGAGGGCAAAGACGTGATTGTTCTCTGTAATATTAATTGTTCCTGTGCTGCAAGATGGTGGTTCCTTCTAGCACTGTGAAGGGAAATGGGGCTGAGAACAGGGAACAGGTGTGCTCAAAAGTGCCGGGAGTTCCTCCAGTTCTTAAACCATCTGGCAATCGCCTCATTGTTTGCGACATCGTGTCCTTTATAACTTATGACTATAAACATTTGCATATGGATTCAATGTTTATTTAAAAATAATTTCAGAATACAATGAAGTTGGCATATAACAATTAGTTTTCCTGGTGTTTTGGCTTTTATTTTTGTCAGTTTTTTTTATTCTTTTTTTTTTTTTTTTTCTCTTTAGGTACCATGGTTGTTCTCCTGTGGGCTGTGGTGTGGTCAGTTACCGGCCCCGAGTGTCTTCCTGGAGGAAATCTGTTTGGAATCATAATCCTATTCTATTGTGCTGTCACTGGAGGCAAAATCTTTGGACTCATTAAGTTACCAACCTTGCCTCCTCTGCCTCCTCTTCTTGGTAAGTCCAAATGCTTCCTGATTTCCTCAAAACAGATGATAGCTTTAAAAAAAGCTTTCCAGAAAGCTTTGGGAAATTGAAGAATAAATTATTTCAGTATTTGCTATCCTGGAGACAAAAGCCAAATTTTAATTTAAAAAAATTATTTTGGGGGTTGGAGAGATGACTCAGAGGTTAAGAGCACTGACTGCTCTTCCAGAGGGCCTGAGTTCAATTCCCAGCAACCACATGGTGGCTCACAACCATCTGTAATGAGATCTGGTGCCCTCTTCTGGCCTGCAGAGATGCATGCTGTATACATAATAAATAAATAAATCTTTTAAAAAAATTATTTTGTGTGTGTGTGTGTGTGTATGTACACGTATGTATGCTGCGTGTACACGTATGTATGCTGTGTGCAACAGTTTATGGAGTCCGTTCTCTACTTTCATCTTCATGTGGGTTCTGGGGTTCAGACGCAGGTGTCTCTAGGCTTTTGAGGCAGGCACATTACCAGCTAAGCCATCTCTGTGGTGCCAGTTGTTAAAGGACTTTTGTGCGCCAGTTGTAGATGTGGCGATTTTTTAAAATTAAGTAGTACAAATTTACAATTAAATAGTTTACATGTGAGAAGAAGTGTGTCACTTCCTAATTATTTTTACTACATTTCCTCTTATCTAAGCTCTTGAGATTATGGCTACGCCATTTAATGATGTGCCTCTGCCCATTTTTTTTTCTGAACTCTATAAACAGTAACTTCATGTGGACACACTAAAATCCGCTGTGCTAGAAGTGTCTGTGATGCAGAAATCAATAAATGCTGCAGGGTGGGGCTTGTTAAAGTTGTTTTGTTTGGGTTTGGTTTTGCGTGGTGGCCCACAGAGGCTTCCTCGTGAGACCTTAGTCAGGGTCAGAGAATCTGAAGTTGCTTTACCCAGCAGGGCTGCATAATAGGATAACTTGGCCACAGGCATGGTTACCAGGTGTTTGGAAGTGTCTGCCTTCACATGTTTGCTGCTGCCATCTTTCTCTGGTATCTGGCATGGTGTGAATGGGTGCGGGGAGATCCTCACGGCCTATAATGTAGTGTGTTTATCTCATAGAAATATCCTATGAAGATGATTTCTTCTTAATTGATAGATACTGTCTAATTGATAATAATAATGGTAGTTTAAATAGTATTTTGATGCATGGTTACCAGGTGTTTGGAAGTGTCTGCCTTCACATGTTGACTGCTGCCATCTTTCTCTGGTATCTGGCATGGTGTGAATGGGTGCGGGGAGATCCTCACGGCCTATAATGTAGTGTGTTTATCTCATAGAAATATCCTATGAAGATGATTTCTTCTTAATTGATAGATACTGTCTAATTGATAATAATAATGGTAGTTTAAATAGTATTTTGATGATTAAAAATAAAACAAGGAAGTGTCACACAGCTAGAACACATGAGTTTCTATTGAGGAACCATATAGACTGTGGCTTAGGTTAATGATTAAGAAAAACAATTGAGTCCCAGTAGCCCAGCTAACTTAAATTCTTTTAATCTTAATGTTGGGAGATGTGTTCACAGGTTTCAGAATATGTCACAGCTGAAACAAAGTTTTGAAAATAACTTAAAGTTAGACTAAGATGTTTTGTTCAATAGCTTTGAGGGGAAAAACCCAAGATGACAATCTAAAGTTTTAGAAAGGCACATAGTTGAGTGAGGAACTCGTTAAGGGCAGGGAACAAGAACAAAGCAGCCCAATTATCATTAGCTGACTCGCCTTTCTTGCTAGGATTGGTTGATGACCAAAGGTGGTGATTAGTTCCTTTTACCCATTTCTGGCCTCAATCTCCTGATATAAGGAACTATTGATGAGTGGGTATGTACCCTAAAGATTTAAAGTAGAGCTGACTGATTCCTTTTTCATATATAAAAGTTTAGGTTTGTGATTCCTTTAAGATTCCTTATAAGATTACCTTTCAAGATAAGTGATAAAGTGATTGGTCCTTTCTTTGTAACCACAAAACACAGCCTGGCCGTAAGAGAATGCCTTGCTTGCCTACACTGATAATCTATAACAAGTTGCTTGGATATGAATGTACATAGGTTTTGAGACAACTTGTTTTTCACTTGTAATATGTAAAATGTTTAATCATGTAAGAGATATGGAAAACATGCTGTTTTTTACTTGAATTCATTGTACTCATTCACTTGAAAAATGGAATGTAACATTGTAATTTTTATATTGCTTGAAAGATTTTGTTGGGGTATATACGCTGTAAGGGAAAAAATAGAGTTAGAAGGAAGGAAAAGGAAAATGGGAGAATGTCTTTCTGTACACTGCAAATATGTATTGCTCTGATTGGTTGATAAATAAGCTGTTTGGCCTATGGCAAGGCAGCTTAGAGGCAGGCAGGAAATCCGAAGGAGAGACAGAAAGAAGGCAGGGGGAGATGCCAGCGAGCCACCTAAGGAGCAACATGTAATGGGACTCAGGTAAAGCCACGGAACATGTAGTGATACATTGATTAATAGTTATGGGCTAATTTAAGATATAAGAGCTAGCTAGCAAAAGGCTTGAGCCATGGCCATGCAGTTATAATTAATATGTGTGTTTACTGTGTGTTTACTTGGGTCTGAGTGGTTACAGGACCAGGCGGGACACAGGAATTTTATAAGTGGCTGTGGGACCTTGGTGCTGGGTGAGCACAGGAAAACTTCAGCTACACTGGGCCCCCCTAGTCATCTGTCTTTCCTCAGTCTCATACTGTCAGGGTTGTTGTTTCTCTAAAGCCAGAAAGCTTGTTGCCATATTACAGTTCCTAGCATTCGTCTCTATAAACAGAACTCATAGTCTTCTGTCTACATATGATTCCATGTTCATTATCTTGTATGAAATAATAAAGAGATCCAGTAAATGGTGAGTAGTAAATAAAGGAAGAAGCACTGTCTGGTATGGCAGGGTCGTGTCTGGTTACCATAATTGTCTTCCAAACCTTTACAAAGTGTGTTACGTGTATCTTACTAAATGGTCTCCTGTGAAGGTAAATAGAATACATACATATAAGTATTAATTGATAGCTCAGGTAACCCGACATTGCAAATAATTTAAGGAGCTGTTTGCACTCAGGGATAACTGAACTGACAATGGATTAAAGCATCTTATTTAGGATTTAATCATTATTCCCTGTAAACGCTATCCTTTGTGTGTCCCTATAATCAATTATTTGGAGAATATTAATTATTCTAATCATTTTACATATGAAGTATTTCTTTGATCCTTTTATTTATTATACTTTTAAAATTATGAGTTTAACTTTATTTCATCCAAAGATTAAGCATAAGGAAAAACTACATTGTAGTCCCTATCACATGTAAAGTGATTGAAAAAAAATCTCCCTGTTTGAAAACTTAACTAGTCCTGTTTGGCTTATCCGTTCCAGGCATGCTGCTTGCTGGGTTTCTCTTGAGAAATGTCCCAGTCATCAGTGATAATGTCCGGATCCAGCATAAGTGGTCTTCTTCTTTGAGAAGCATAGCCCTTTCTGTCATTTTGGTTCGTGCTGGCCTCGGTCTGGACCCAAAGGTATGAAGTATGAATTTCTAATTATTGAATAGTAAACATATTCTTCTGATGTTACAAGTATTTATAATATTAAGCTTCAGGAAGAGAATGGACAATGCACATGACAGTCTCAGGAAGAGGGAGGAGTTTTTGCCAGGCAGGATCATTGTCCTCCCACCCTGTGCCTCACGGGAATCCAAATGTTCCAGTACTATGTTTTGAAGGAACAGGTGTTACTGTGGAGCAGGAAACACAGATATCAGTCATAGTGAGAGGTATTGATTATGGGGAAACAGTGTGTCAAGTCCAGTATGTGTATACAAAACATCACACAACAGCATAGGGCTGACTGTATTGGCTCAGGGAACTGCCTTCCAAATGGAATGCGTTTTTTTTTTTTTTTTGTATTTTTGAGACAAGGTTTCTCTGTGTAGCTTTGGTGCCTGTCCTGGATCTCACTCTGTAGTCCAGGCTGGCCTCGAACTCACAGAGATCCTCCTGGCTCTGCCTCCCAAGTGCTGGGATTAAAGGTGTGCACCACCACCGCCTGGCTCTTAGGTATGCTTTTTAAAATGCTCTTTACCCATATACCTTTGAATGTGCAATGTGAATGAATACCTTTGGAGACAAACATCCTCATCTGGCCTCATTCTGGGACTGTAGGCCACAAGTCAAATGGGTAGTCAGACAGTATGTGGGTTATAAACACAGACTCTGAAGTCACCTGTGTGACTGTAAACTTGGCCCCAACCCTCACCAATTTCATGGACTGAGACCACTCATTCTAACTTGTGCCTTCTTACACGGTAACATCTGTAAAGAGAAGCAGTAGTTGCCTGTTGCAGGCTATCTGTGAGGACTGGGTCCACTGTCTCCCAAACACGTAGCATGCAGAAATGCCTGCTGCATAAAACTAGCTGAGAAACCATGATGACCAAGCATGGTCTGAGAAAGCGCTCGAGGTCATATTGCCCACATGTTGAAGGAACATAATATGTGCACTCTTATTTTTCAGGCGCTGAAGAAACTGAAGGGGGTGTGTGTCCGACTGGCCGTGGGTCCCTGCGTTGTGGAGGCGTGTACTTCTGCGCTCCTTTCCCACTTCCTGATGGGCTTGCCTTGGCAGTGGGGGTTCATACTAGGGTAATGACTTTTTTTTTTCTTTTCGTATGAAGGTATCAAGGGGCACTTGGAACTTCCTGCTTCCATTTAAGAATGTAAAAAACATTGTCTTAGGAGAACCATAAAATATATCATAGGCACTGCAGCACAGTCTAAAGAGTCTGGCTTTAAGACACAGTTTGTGTCCCTGTAGTTGCTAACTTCACAGTGACTGTGGGAATCTAAACTACTGAAGAAGTTCAGTTTCTTCCCCTCTATGCCCATGCCTCGAAGTTAGCTGCTGGATCCCACCCCAGAGCCTCCATAAGCAGCTGGAACCATTGGTTTCCTCCTGCCACCAGACATTGTGACTTGAAGCCTCTTCTGCGTGTTCTTTCTAGTGTCATGTTTTCACGTCCAGTGGGTGGGAGCCATGAGACGTGCCCACATTAAAAGTACATAGCAAGAATTTAGTGTTTATGTATGGGCATGAAGACATTATTACACGTCAGAAGTAGGACTCAGGGTGCACCACCTAGATTCCAGCTCCAGTTCTGTGATTTCCAGTTATCCCGTCTCTCTGTGCCTTGATGTCCTTACTTGGATCTATTTTGTAGTGTTATAGTGCTGATAAAATGAGTTCCTTTTTTTTTTTTTTTTTTTTTTTTTTTTTTTTTTGGTTTTTCGAGACAGGGTTTCCTTGTGTAGCTTTGCGTCTTTCCTGGAACTCACTTGGTAGCCCAGGCTGGCCTCGAACTCACAGAGATCCACCTGGCTCTGCCTCCCAAGTGCTGGGATTAAAGGCGTGCGCCACCACCGCCCGGCTTTTTTTTTTTTTTTTTTTTAATGGTTTTTCGAGACAGGGTTTCTCTGTGTAGTTTTGGTGCCTGTCCTGGAACTCCCTCTGTAGACCAGGCTGGCCTCAAACTCACAGAGATCTGCCAGGCTCTGCCTCCCGAGTGCTAGGATTAAAGGCATGGACCACTACACCTGGCCCTGAAATGTGTTCTTATGTGTGAGGTCCTCACAGTGGGTGTTCAGAGCATAGTGAGTATGTAAAATGCTCCCCAGCCTTACACCTGTTGCTATTACTAGCTCACTGTCCCTGTCTTCATAGCCTCTTCCTTCAGATCTGTGGTCCTATTTCACGTCTAAAGACCTAACTGAAGCCCTGTTGCAGTTGAGAATGCCCATGATAATAAAACATGACTGGTATATATATATATATATATATATATATATATATATATATATATATATATTTTAAAAAAGCACCTACTGTGGCCTAACTCCATTACTGACTCAACACCTCTCATGCTACATATAATTTAGGCAACCTGGGTCATTGCCAACAGACTGTCCATTATTATACTTCAAAAAGCAGTGTTTTATAGACCTTTCTGTATATGTGGTGTTTCTGGGCTGTTTGAGAGACTGCAGTCATCCAAAGCCTAACCTTTGAAGGTATAGAAAAAAGGAGGCATTGTTATGAGTGCTGAGGTCGTCATAGCGAGCAGCAGCTTCCTTGGACCACGGTGTCTGACATCTGGCTGCTCAGTTTTGTCATAGGTGCTGTGTCTCCAGCTGTCGTGGTCCCTTCGATGCTCCTTCTGCAAGAAGGAGGCTACGGTGTTGAAAAAGGTGTTCCAACTTTACTCATGGCCGCTGGCAGCTTTGATGACATTTTGGCCATCACTGGCTTCAACACATGCTTGGGTGTGGCCTTTTCCACAGGTAATCTCACCTGTCCAGAGCACGCTGTTCTCTTGTCCTGCAGAGATGGAGTTAAAGTGTTCAAACCATGACGTGATTGCTTAAGGTAACGCCTGTGAGGAAGGGGCTGGATCCTTCCTCAGAGCCATCAGCAAGCGGAGGCTGCCTGTCTCTGGCTCTTTGGCCTTAGAGATGTAGGACAGGAGAGGCGGGTACAGGGTAATGAGGCTTACTGAGAGTCTTTCTTCTAGGAGACGTCTAAGGAAGTTGAAGTGTAGAAACCACACAAAGGTGAGGGAGGTTTTGCCATAGGCACACACCAGACAGCAGTCCCGGTGGGAGGGGTATTGTGATTCTAAAATAGGAGCATTCTCTGTCCTCAGCTTTTTGTCAGCCCCTTGTAAATTAGTCTCCTGTAAGGTTTTACAGTGTTACTTTCTTGTTCTGTAACTAAGGGGTGTTCCCTGCTTCCCTAGGAAGATCTAATAGGTAATCGTCTTTAGTTGAACTCTACAACTGCAGGCAAACCTACTTTCCCACTGCTGCCCTTGTGGGAGCCTTTAAAGCAACAGTTCTCAGCCTTAGCTAGATAGTACCGTTACCCAGGGCACTTTATTTATTTGTTAATGTAGACATTGCTGAAGACCAATTAAAATAGGCACCCTTGGGAATGGAAGCCAGTGTAGCCATGGTGAGGAACTGTGGCTTCAGAGCAACAGGGTTTGCCTTAGGGTCACAGAGGACGCAGGGAGAACAGAAGGTGGATAGGAATTCTTAGAGGAGTCTGTTTGGGGCTTTCCACAGCTTGAGAATCTTCCTGGCTGACTCTAACTCTTTTCTGTCACTTCTGCCAGCCCCCTAAGTCCTGTTCTCAAGAGGTTTTGAATTTGAACCTGACTAGAATTTTTGGGTATGAGCCCAAGATTTTTTGTTTGTTTTAAACAATGTTTTACCATACAAGAAACTGAAAGTATTAGTTACATTCTAGATTCTTGGTACAGTCTTCCCCCCCCCCCTTTTTTTTTGGTTTTTTTTTTTTTTTTTTATGTATACACTGTTCTGCCTGCATGTCTGCCTACAGGCCAGAAGAGAGGGCACCAGATCTCATTACAGATGGTTGTGAGCCACCATGTGGTTGCTGGGAATTGAACTCAGGACCTTTGGGAGAGCAGCCAGTGCTCTTAACCTCCGAGCCATCTCTCCAGCCCTGGTTTTTGTTTTTTCCAGACAGGGTTTCCCTGTGTAACTCTGTCTGTCCTGGAACTTGCTCTGTAGACCAGGCTGGCCTCAAACTCAGAGATCTGCCTGCCTCTGCCTCCTGAGTGCCAAGGTTAAAGGCATGTGCCATCACCGCCCAGTGTGTAGTACATTCTTTCTTGAAACAGCTGGAGTGTGATGCATCACAGATGGGCTTTTTGTTTTGTGTCTAGTAGATAGAGCTGGGAATGGAACCTAGGGCCTTGTTCATGTCAGGCAAGTGTTCTGCTCACTCAAATCCCCAGCAGTTCAGCAGGGCACCTTTGACAAGCACACTGCTCACCTTCCAGAAAAGCTGTCTTTGCCAAGGAAAATTATGTAAGTTTTTTTTTATATGTATAAGAGAAATGCTTATTGTATCAATAAGAAACCACATCAACTTGTTGGTACCCTTTGTCTCAAGGCAGTTGAAAAATGGCTTTATGAGCTGGAGAGATGGCTCTGGGCTTAGGAACACTTGCTGTTCTTGCAGAGGATCCAGGTTCAATTCCCAGTACCCACATAATGGCTCACAATCATCTGTAACTCCAGTTCTAGGGGATTTGCTACCCTCTTTAGGTAGGCACACATGTGGTGTGCAGACAAAGTACCCATACATATAAAATAAACATGAAAAAAAAATGTCCTTTGAATGGAAAGAGGAAAGAAAAAGGACATTTAAAAAAAAGCTCCTAGGTATGGTAGAGGAGAAAGTTTGTTATAGGTATGTAGGAGAGCGTAGCCAGGGGCAAACACAGCTGGGGGAGTCCAGAGTGGGTGTGGCCAGGCTGAGCTGGCTGTGGGGAGAAGGAAAGGGAGAGGGGAGAGAGAGAGGTTTAATTACAAGTTAATTTTGGTCCTTACACAAACCTACTCTGAATGATGAATTTTATCTTTCATAATTTGGTAGTCTTAAGAAAACCATTAAGTAAGTAAACCTATGAAAAGTATCTTAAGTCACACCTTGTTTTGGTTTTGAAAGTCTTATCCAACAATGTTTTTCTTCTTCTTAAAAAATAGAAGCAGTTTTTTTGTTTGTTTGTTTGTTTTTTCTGGTTTTTTGTTTTTTGTTTTTGTTTTGTTTTTCAAGAAAGGGTTTCTCTGTAAAGCCCTGCTGTCCTGGGCCCTGTACACCAGACTGACCTTGAACTCAGAGATCCTCCTGCCTCTGCCTCCTGAGTGCTGGGACTAAAGGTGTGTGACACCACACCTGGTTAGAAGCATTTTAATAGATATTTAAAGTCATCTGTATTAAAAATGTGGGGAGTAGAATGTACCAGGCTTTGCTGACTCCCCATGGGAGGCCTTACCCTTTTGGGGGAAGGGATGGGGGGTGGAAACGCTGTAGGGGAGCAGGAGGAGGGATGAGAGGGGAATCTGTGATTGGCATGTAAAATGAATAAAAAAGTTTAAGTAAAACAACAACAACAACAAAAATATGGCGAGTATAGGGCTGGAGAGATGGCTCAGCAGTTAAGAGCACTGGCTGCTCTTCCAGAATATCCAATTTTGATTTCCCCAGCACTCACATGGCAGCTCATAACTGTCTGTAACGCCAGTGCCAGGAGATATAAGGCCTTCTGGCCTCTTTGGGCACTGCATGCATGTGGTGCACAGACATACATCCAGGCAAAACACCCATGCACATAAAATAATAATTTTTAAAAATGTGGAGCATAGGAAATGTCTGTAAGAACTCCCTTCTGTTTGGCTATGTGATCTAACTTGATGATGTTAGACTAAAGCTTGTGTATTAATGGATTTAGAGTCTTGGCTGAAGTTTTTCTTTCCATGTGTTTTTCAGGGTCTACAGTTTTTAACATCTTCAGGGGCATTTTGGAGGTGGTAATTGGCATGGCTACTGGATCTTTTCTTGGGTTTTTTATACAGTACTTTCCAAGCAGTGACCAGGTAAAAGAAGCAATCTGAGAAAACCGTGCTATAAATTGTCAATGGAAGAGACTTCTAGAACACCTTCCTCAAAGCTGGATGTGCCGGACATAGTTGAGGAAATGGCCCCTTTTTTAAGCTGCTGATTGCTCTATTGGTGCCATGTATGAGACTGAGGGAGAGGTACACACATGGGATCCCAATGCTGCTCTGGAATGTCCTATCTATAATTGTATTATGGACTCTTATATAATTAATATGAATATATAACATATTTGTATGTAATACATCATATAGAATTTCTATGTACATTTCAAATTTCATTGTAAAATAATATTAGTTACAAAATAATAGGATATGTACATTTTCAGAAGGTGTGTAGTATTCAACTAAATCAAGACTTATTGTGGAGTTTTGCACCCAGTTTAGTATCAAAATACTTTAAATTCTAGTGCTGTCAAGCAGATAAGACTTCTAATATCTCATAATAAAGTCAAGCATCTCTCTTCAAGATCAGCTTTCTTAATGAGAAGCAAAAGCTTTTTCTCTTCACTCCTAATTCTTCTAATATTAAAAAAGCATGTGGAAATGCTATCTTTATAAAATTTACATTATTTTGAAAATTCAGAACATTCATAATGGCATCGGAAATTTCACTAAAGCAAGTGTTGTATGCAGAATGTTTTTGTTTTCATCTTAAATCTTAGGTATAGAATAATCAATCATTAAAAATTAGTTATTTGAAATAATCGAGCTGATCACCTTTTCTTTCCTCCAGGACAACCTTGTGTGGAAGCGAGCCTTCCTGGTTCTGGGCTTTGCTGTGCTAGCTGTGTTCAGCAGTGTTTATTTTGGCTTCCCAGGGTCAGGAGGACTGTCCACACTGGTCATGGCTTTCCTTGCAGGCATGAGATGGAGTGACAAGAAGGTGAACTTCATTGTAATTTCATCTGCTCATGACTCCTTTTTAATAAAATTCCTTCTTTTCAGCTCTTTCTTAATGTTATACTAACAAACTTTTTCTTCATAAGAGCCATTTTCTATACATACACAAATGTATACCCAGTGTCCATATGCATATGCCTTTCGCCCATACACACTAATCATTTGCTTAAAATATACTACAGTCATATGATCACGATCCATCCCTACTCCTTTATAGATGCAGGGCATTGTACTAGATGGCTGGACCACATTTAATGTGACCAGTTTCTCTCCCTCCCTCTCCCTCTCTCTCTCTCTCTCTCTCTGTCTCTCTCTCCCCCCTCCCTCCTTTCTTCCTTTCCTTGTGGTGATATTTTATTTGTGGTGAAATGTGGTGATATTTTATTTGTATGTTAATAAATAAAGTTTGCCTGGAGATCAGAGGACATAGCCAGCCATAAACAAAAGTCCGGCAGTGGTAGCACACACCTTTAATCCAATCACATGGGCGGTAGAGTCTCTGTGTGTTCAAGGACACAATAGGGAACAGCCAAGCATGGTAACACATGCCTTTAATCCCAGTACCAACCATAGAGACCTGGAGGTCTGTACAGACAGGCAGTGACAAGGAAGTGAGGTAGCTGGGCTAAGAGCCAATGAGAAGGCAGAACAGCAAGGCAATAAAGACACAGGTTAGACAGGAAGAAGCTGGTTCTCTGGGGAAGCTACAGCGGTGAGGTGAGCTAAGGTTAGCTGGTGGCTGTTATTATTTCTCTGATCTCTACAGCTTTTACCCCTGTATTTGCCTCTGTGTTTCTTATTTAATAAGACTATTTAGAAATTCGTCTACATTTCCTTCCTTCCTTTTTTTTTTTTGTTTTTTGAGACAGGGTTTTTCTCTGTATTTCCCTGGCAGTCCTGGAACTAACTTCGTAGACCAGGCTGGCCTTGAACTCAGAGATCTGTCTGCCTCTGCCTCTTGAGTGCTGTGATCAATGGCATGTGCCATCACCGCCCAGTGTGACCAGTTTCTTACCAAAACATGCTATGTTGTACTTCTATGTCACAATAGTCATTACTTCAATAAATGGACCCTTACATGTACCATATTTCTTAGGTGCTTAGACGTTACCAATTCTATGTCACTCTTGCAGGCTACTAAGAAAAACATTGACAAACTATGATAGAAAATCTTAACTTGAAAAATGTTTTTAAAAATATCTTCAAATCAACAAAATACTGTGTTTTTTTTTAAAGATTCTCCATAGGATAAATCTCTAAAAATAGAATTGCTCTAGAGAAGAGTATGCTCACATATACATTTGGTCATATCAGCTTGCTCACGTATACATTTGGTGGTATCAGCTTGCCCTTTCTAATAGGCTGAGCCAGTTTTCATTCCTAGCAATATTTTGTGAGAGGATTGGTTTCTGTCTTGGGTATTTTACTAACCTGATAGGTGAAATGTATGTCCTGTTTTGATCTAGGTTGTTTCTCCACGCATGAATCAATCACCATTTCATATGATGATTGGGTAGTACAGGAACAGCCTTTTCACACTTTTTGTGCATGTGCCACTTTAAAAACTGACTTTCCAGAACACTAACAATGTGAAGTGTCTCAGTGTGTGTTGCTTTCTTCTTGTCCATGTGTGTGTGTGTGTGTGTGTGTGTGTGTGTGTGTGTGTGTGTGTGTTGCAGACACTTTAAAAACTGACTTTTCAGAACACTAACAATGTGAAGTGTCTCAGTGTGTGTTGCTTTCTACTTGTCCATGTTTGTGTGTGTGTGTGTTGCAGACACTTTAAAAACTGACTTTTCAGGACACTAACAATGTTGCGTTGATGACAGTTGCTGCTTTCTACTTGTGTGTGTGTGTATATGTGTGTGTGTGTGTATATGTGTGTATGTGTGTGTATGTGTGTGTGTATATGTGTGTATGTGTGTATGTGTGTGTATATGATGTGTGTATATGTGTGTATGTGTGTGTATATGTGTATGTTTGTGTATGTGTGTGTGTGTATATGTGTGTATGTGTGTGTATATGTGTGTGTGTGTGTGTATGTGTGTGTGTATATGTGTGTGTGTGTCCCCCACATGGGCGTGGAAGCAGAAGTTATGTCGTTTGTCTCCCTCTGTCGCTCTCCACCTTGTTTTTGAGTAGGGTTTCTCACTGAATCTGGAACTCTCTGCTTTAGATAGATTGTCTGGCCAGAGAGCTCCAGGAATCTGCCTGTCTCTCCCTCCACCCCACCCCCACTTCCGCTCCCCCGCCCCCACACACTGAGGTTAGGGATACTGACCCTGGCTTTAACATGGACACTGGGAACCTGAATTGGGGTCCTCCCACAGCACTTTGCTCACTGAGCCGTCTCCTCATTCCTGATGTAAACACTTGAAGGTTTTGACACGTTATCAGACTTCAGTCTGGAACTGTATCCCTTCCTTGTCTGACAGTGTAATACAGAGTCTGTGAGCTTAGATTGCTCCAGCTAGTCTCAGCTCTACAAGTTGCTAGGTGTACGATCTTGTCGTCAGTTCTTTCCTCTTACCAGTGGGTCCCAGGCATCAGACACGTCTTCCAGCTGAAGACCTGAGGTGGCAAGTGTCCTTACTCTCTGAGCTCTGGCTTATCTTAGACAGTTTAAAAATTAAAAAAATAAAAAAAAATAGGGCCTAGAGAGATCATTCAACAGGTAAGAGCACTTGCATCTTCTACAGAGGGCCTGGGATTAGTTCCCAGCACTCACACAGTGGCTCACAACTCTGTAACTCCAGTTCCAGGGGATCTGATACCATTCTGATCTCTACAAGTGCACATACATATAGACAGGCAAAACACTCACACAAAATAAACTCATCTCAAATTTAATAAAAATAATTTCATAGAGAAGACTCATTACTTCTTCCTCCTTCAGTGGAATTGCTTATTTGAATTATATTTGCATACTTTCCTTAACTATGTAGCACTAAGCAACCTAAAATTACTAGTCTTGATTTTTTTTTTTTCCTTTTTAGACACAGGGTAGTGTATCACATTCTGGTCTCAGATTTACTGTGTAATTAAGGCTGGTCTTGAACTCCCAATCTTCCTATCTCACAGGCTTGGAGTTCATCTGTTTGGCTTGATTTGCTACATTTGGCTAGGTTGGCTGCCTGGCCACAGAGCTCCAGGGATCCATCGATGCCTCTGATTTCTTACTGATCTCAAATCCATATCCCAAATGAAATAATTCAATTTTTTTGGCAGTTATAACTATAATAAAGTTTTCGTTTCTTCTCTTTTAGTCAGAGGTAGAAAAGATAATTGCAGTCACCTGGGACATTTTCCAGCCCCTTCTGTTTGGCCTGATTGGAGCAGAGGTATCTATTGCATCGCTCAGACCAGAAACTGTTGGTAAGGATTTCTCAGTGGTTCTTGGGCTAGAACTATATCTTTAAATCCTGACTTGGAATATCTTCCGTAGGTGTTTGTTTACCATTGTCACAGTTATATAAAGAATTATCTGTGATCTAAGTCTTTAGAGAAGTTGGCTAGAGAAAAATGCTTGATACTCTGAGTGAAAAATCAGGCCTACTGCCCAAAATAATGATGTTCATCTAGCCCTGTTCTGATCAAGAGCTAGAATTTTAAAGGTACTGGTTAGCTCTGTCATGTGTTCTCATGAATTGGAAATGCTTGGTATTTGTTCTTTATTCTACATTCAAACAGTATCATATTAAGATTGTCCCGATTGACAGCACTGCACTTGCAATTAATTAATTTGTAAATATCATTCCTCTCTTTACATCCCAATATTCTTCCACCCATACCAGGAATCCTATTTCCTGCCATCCTCTACTGAATTGCAAGTATTTCCCCTTATTTTTATTCATCTTTAAAAATGAGTATGCACAGATAGATGTAGCGCCTCTCTCTCTCTCTCTCTCTCTCTCTCTCTCTCTCTCTCTCTCTCTCTCTGTGTGTGTGTGTGTGTGTGTGTGTGTGTGTGTGTGTGGTGTGTGTGTGAATACAGGTGCACCCACGACCAAGCCGCACATGTGGAGGTTCAGGATTCAGTTCTCACTTTCCACCTTGTTGGAGCAGAATCTTTCATGTTGCTGCTGCTGTGCTGCATGTCCCAGGCGAGCTGGCCTAAAAGCTTCTGGGCCAAAAGCATCTCTCCCTCCCATCTTGCCTGAGGAATGCTGGTATTACAGATGCATGCCATGGTACCCAGCTTTTTAAGCGAGTTTCAAGGATTGAACTTGGGACATCAGCCTTGAGGAACTAGTACTTTTACACCATCTTCCTGGCCGTTTTTTATATCTGTTAATATGCCATCTACAGGCTTCTCTTTAGAATTTAAATTTTCTAATGTCACATTTCTTCAAAGAATATCCTTTCTTTCTGATACATACCAGACACGGGTGAAGTTTAACGACATTATGATAAGTGAAATAAGACAGCCACAAAAATGCCAATACTGTATCACTCCACTTATATGAGCAATATGTAACTAGAAACTAAGGCACGGTCACAATGGCATAAAATAAAAGTATGGGTTTCCAGGGCTGGGGGCTGAGGGAAATAGGAAAGTGCTGTTTAATGGGTATACAATTTAAATTTTGCTAATGAAAATGTTCTGGAGTTTGGTCACGCAGTAGTATAGATTTATTTAATGCTACTGAGCCCTGCACTTAAAAGCGGTAAAGATGGAGGATCTCTGAGATGGCACAGCAGTTCGAGAAGACTGCTACACAAGCCAGGACGCCCAAGTTTGAACCCACGAAGCCACGTCGAAGTGGAAGGGAGAACCAGCTCCACAAGGCTGTCCTCTACATGTCCGACCTCTAATTTCACATCGCGGCACAGACAGACAGACAGACAGACAGACCGATTTTTAAATTGGTAAAGGTGGCACATGTTATTAATATTATTAAAATTAAAATATACTGAAAAGTATAGATAGAGAGATAGACAGATAGATAGATAGATAGATAGATAGATAGATAGATAGATAGATAGACAGACAGACAGATAGATGCTTTCTCCGTTTCACTCACCCTCTCGCCTGGCACACACCCTCTTCTTCCCACCTTTAAACTTCTCAAAACCAGTGACAGCCTTCCAGCCATCCACATCCACTCCATCTCCTTTCTCAGTACCTATCCATCAGGCTTCTACTCCACCACACAGCCAATGGTGCTCATCAAGATTACCTGCCTAAATCCAGTCTGTGAATTGAATGCTCCTCCACATTTGTTGTTATTGTCTCTTTAAAACACTCCTCCACTGAATTCTGCTGTTTTCCTTCAGTCCCCCATTTACACTTTCTGGAGCTTAAATACTGGCTTTTATCTTTTTTCCCCCAACACCCTCACCCCATCGCTGTGCCCCTCACCAAGATCTCTGCTTTAACCTTGTCCACGCCACTGACATCAACTATAACCAGCCCAAATCAGCTTGTTTGTATCTTGTGCTGCAGGCAGTAGATGCTTTTGAAGATCTACTAGTCTAGGGAGCTGCTGTCCAACAGAGGGCTGTGGCTCCCTCCATCAAGACCCAGGGCTGCAACACAGCCTCTCATGCTGTGCACACTCTGATCTTGAGAAAGGGATTTCTCTTTCCTAAGCTGCAGACAGTCTCCAGCAGTCTGCTTGGGTTCTTCCTTCCATACTAGTTGATAAGTATCTTGAATAATATGTCTAGTCTTGTACTCTGCAAAGAAGTCACAGCTACTTTAATGAAAAGGTTGTTTTTGTTTTTGTTTTTGTTTTTTCACTTATCTATGCTTGCTTACTGGTTTGTCTGTACTCGACTTAACCACACCACATATATAAAGCAGATTTTTGTTTCTGACTTCTTCAAACTTTGAGGCTGATCAGCCCATAAAGTATATATTTTGTCTACCCACCACCTTGTTTAAAGTTTGGCATGCATTATATCATCAATTTTTTACATTATTTTATGTGTTTTGCCTATATGGATATCTTGTAGAATATTATTTTAAGATGTGTTACTTTTGTTTATGTTGCATTTGTTTAACTCAGTGAAGCTGTGTTATTTTGCCTGTCTAAAACACCTGATGATCTAATAAAGAACTGAACAGCCAATAGCAAGGCAGGAGAAAGGATAGGCGGGGCTGGCAGGCAGCGAGAGAATATATATAAGGAGAAATGTGGGAGGAGAAAGAAGAAGTAGCCAGAAAAGGAGGAGGACTCCAGGGGTCAGCCACCCAGCTCACAGCAAGCCATGGAGTAAGAGGAAGATTTACAGAAGTAAGAGAACAGGAAAAGCCTAGAGGCAAAAGGTAGATGGGATAATTTAAGGAAAGCTGGCAAGAAACAAGCCAACCTAAGGCCAGGCATTTATAAGTAAGAATAAGCCTCTGTGTGTGTTTATTTGGAGCTGGGTGGCAGGCCTCCCAAAAGAGGAAAAACAAAAACAGCATGGATACATGTGCACCACTTGTGTGCCTGGTATCTGAAGAGGTCAGAAGAAAGTGTTGGATCCCCTGAAACTGGAGTTACAGATAGTTGTGAGCCATCATGTGGGTGCTGGGAACTGAACCTGGGGCTCTGCAAGAGTAACAACTGCTCTTAACCACTAAGCTATCTCTCCAGCTTCACCTTATATCATTTAATACAGCCATGTTAAATCAGTGGTTCTCAGCCTTCCTAATGCTGTGACCCTTTAATCCAGTTCCTCATGCTGTGGTGACCCCCAGCCATAAAGTTATTTCTGTTGCTAACTGTAATTTTGCTACTTTTATGAATTGTAATGTAAATATTTGATATGCAGGATATCTGATTTTCAACTCCTGTGAAAGGGTTGTTCAACCCCCAAAGGTGTGACGACATACCACTGTGTTGAATAAACACATGGAAGAAAATGTGGATCTTGCTATAAAGTGTATGGTGTTGTGTCCGCCCAGTATATAATGTACTGACACTGGCTTGATGGATCTCAAAATATGAAGAAGGAAGAAACATCAACATCTAATTTAAATTTACTTTGCAAGAATTGAAATGTTTGATTAAATCCTGATTTTATAAAAGAAAGATTTTAAACAATGGTGTGATTGATCTTATTTATTGATTGATCAATTATATGCAACCATTTTTTGTATTTAATGTTTTAACATTATTCCTTATTGATAGTATTTTGAAATGTAATTTTTCCTGACATCTCATTATTTCTAAAACCTGAATATTTCTTTCAGGCCTGTGTGTTGCCACGCTTGGCACTGCAGTATTGATACGAATGTTGATGACATTTCTGATGGTGTGTTTTGCTGGTTTTAACATAAAGGAAAAGATATTTATTTCTTTTGCATGGCTTCCAAAGGCCACAGTCCAGGTAGGTAACAATTAACAGAAAGGTGTATCAATGTAACTTTCCTCTGTAAGACACCTTTAAATATTGAATAAGAAGACTTACCTAAGTTGGTAGAAGTAACCAGTTGGTAAATGATAGAAATAAGTGAGTGAATACATGGTTGAAAATTTGAGTATTCGAAGATTTTACACCAATCTACTCTAAAAGTTTCATTTGTGATGGCTCATTTAAATTTCTTTGGGTCACCAGGGTGAAGATTAAAAATCCAAAACCCCCATACAGACTAGAAAGCAACCATGACCAGAGAGGAAGATTTGAGTTTTTATCATTTAAAACACTAAGTCACCTGAAAAGAACCATTTTAACTCATCTTATCTCAGATTTCCCAAGAAGACAGGAGAAAGGGAGGGAGGGAGGGAGGGAGGGAGGAAGGGAAGGAGGGAGGGAGGGAAGGAAGGAAAGGAAGGAAGGAAGGAAGGAAGGAAGGAAGGAAGGAAGGAAGGAAGGAAGGAAGGAAGACAGGTAGACAGGCAGACAGGCAAGTAGGAAGGAGGGAGTGAGCATGGCTTGTCTTAATGTTTGGAAATCTTTCAATAGCCATATGATTGATGATAAATTACATTTGCCCAGATCTTTATACACAATGAAAGAAAGAGTAATTGAAAAGGAATTAAGGTTTTTTTGTTTTGTTTTTCAAGACAGGGTTTCTCTGTGTAGCCCTGGCTGTCCTGGAACTCTCTCTGCAGACCAGGCTGGCCTAGAACTCAGAGATCTGTCTGCTTCTGCCTCCCAGATGCTGGGATTAAAGGCATGGACCACTATGCTCAGTCTGAAAAGGAATCTAGAAATGCTTTACAGTGTTTACTCATCATCCATAGTTTCACTCTTTGTGGATTCTGTCACCCATGGTCTTTGTAGATTCTGGCAGCCATGGCCTAAAAATATTAAATGGAAAAGTGACAGAAATAAACATTTAAGTTTTAAAATGCATGCTGTTTTGAGTACCACAATGAAATGCTGCACTGGCTTGCTCCATCTTGCTTTGACTGCCTTTGTCCACCATGTCTGCCTTGTAGATACTGCTAATCATTTTACAGCTGTCTTAGCTATCAAATTGACTTTTGGAGTATCCTAATGCCATGGTCAAAAGATCCTTATTTTATTTAATAATAGTGCCAAAGAGCAAGAGTTGGGATTATAGCAATTTGCATATGTCAAAGAGAAGTCGTGAGGTTTTTCCTTAAAGTTAAGAAGTAAAAGTTCTTGACTTAATAAGGTAAAAATAAAGTATATGGAACATTTGATGCTATCTATGTTTTCATTGATCTACTGGGGACCTTGTCAATATCACTCATGATTAGGGGGAGACTCTTGTATTGATTTCCTAGATGAGTAGTTGATATTAACTTTCCACAGCTAGCTGAACCTCATGACAATAGCTTAGTCACGTGAATCAAAATTTGTACATTCAAATACACAAGTGATAAAGAGAGCACATACAGATAATCATTTGACATTGTTGAGCATTCATTTATCTGGATATCTGGAAATGCTAATAAAATTAGAATTGTATAGGTTATAATTTCTTACAAATATTAGAGATCTATGATTGTATTGTCTATTTTCAAACTAATTACATTACATAATTTAAGCATCCTAGAGACTATTTTGTAGTTATTGGAGTAGGCAGACTTTTATGGTTATGCAATGAAAATCAGATATGATGTTAATTTAGGGGATTATGAGGATGCAAACGTGCTGTGATTATATTCTAGGCTTCCTATGACTGTGGACTGGGATGTTAATTTAGGGGGATTATGAGGATGCTGTGATTACATTCTAGGTTTCCTATGGCTGTGAACTAGGACTCTATTCATTCCAGAGATTTTTTTTTAGTCAGTCTTTCCAAGATATCTAAAACCTAATGGTGAAGGAGAGTAGTGTAGAACAATAAATGGGATAATTTGTCTGACATAGTAGCTCCAGCTTCCACACTGCTAGTAACATTAGTAAGTAAATATCAAAACAATGACTTCATCTTTTTTTAATTTTTAAATTAAAGGCTGATACTCTCTTACCATGAAAACTATTTTTAAAATAGGATAAATTACATATATAGGATGCGTTGGGTATTGTATGTCTTGTGGAGGCAAACACAGTCACTCCTCAATATCCTCTGGGAATGAGGAATGAGTTTGAAGACCCTCCATGGATACCAAATCTGCAGATACTCATTCAAGATATTATAAAAAAGGTTATTGTCTACATATAACTTAAGCATATTTCCTATATGCTTTCAATCATCTCTTAATTACTTGTCATTGCTAAAACAATGTTCATGTATTATTTAGACAGTAATGATGAGATAAAAGTCTGTACACGCTCATACAGATGAAAATTTCTATGGTATTTCTGAGCTGCAGTTATTTGAATTTACAGATAAAGAACAGCTATAGAATGAATTATTATCATGTATGGAATTTTAGTTTTTCTTCTGTTGTCACTACATAAAAACAAGGAGGCTTATATGTATACACATATATATGTATACAAATATATATGTAGTTCTTAATAGTTTGGTTTATGATCTTTCATAGGAAATATATGTGTATATATTTTTTAAAGATATTTTTAAAATATCACATATTTTAAATCACAGTTTGGCATTCACACATATCCTAAAACATACACATACATATATACACAGCAGAACTGGAAGAAAAACATATATTGCAATTCAGAAGGTGATATTTTGCCAAAAAATTCATGAAATGTTCAATTACTTATTACATAGAATAAACCATAATAACAAAGAGCCTCACAAATAGCAGAGGAACTGAATGAGCTAGACTTTCTTTTCTTTCCAGTAGTCTAGCGTGGCCATTCCGGAGTTGACAAGGTGGCTGTCACTCTCGGCTTGTGCCTCTTACCCATAGGTTCAACTTGTGCTGCCATTTTCGTCCAGTGGGGAGGGGGCAGGCACGTGGGTTCGCTCTGTTTTGGGTAACAATCCACATCAGTGTCTCATCTCTACTCATCGCTCAGTGGTCAGAACATAGACATGCAGTTAATCTAAAGAGACTAGAAACATGAGATCTCTGTTTTGTCAGCAATATGACCAGCTGAAACCCGGGAGTTCTGGGATAGAAGAACAAAGGGGCTTCAGATACCTATGGACACCTAGATTCTGCCATTGTGTGACTGGCACACTTTTTCTCTCTTGCTCTGTTATCTTAGAAGCAAACATTGCTCTTCACTTGCTAGAAGGAGTTAGTCAGATGGATCAATGTACCTTTCCCTGTGTGAACTAATAGTATTGCATTTTGCTTCTAAGAGAAAATGAGCATTTTCACAATACATTCCAATAGATACATATTAAACAAAACACTACACCAACTGCTGGGGCAAAGAATTCACCAAATAACTAATGGATTTAACATTGTTTTGAAGGTCCCTACCATTTCGGTGTTTCATACTGTTTGAGAATTAGTGTATGCTCCATAGAAAACATACTGATCTAAAATTTTACTCACTTCTAAATAATAACTATAACCACTCCTGTAAGCTTTTTATTTATTAAAGTGATAAGAACAGGTACCAGACTTGATCTTAGCCAAAAGACTGAGACACGATAAGTATTTTCTTTATTGATACAAATTCTTAAAGTTAAAATAGAAAACGAACAGTAACTTCCAACTTTTGTAAGAGAAATGTATCATGTACAACAATATTTGATTAATATGGTGGGTCTGTTTTCCCCTAATATATTAAAATGTACAGACCTGTTACTACATGACCCATGTGTATCTATAACATAAATGTTACTCTCCATGTAAGGGCGGGGAGACTTTGTAGAAAATCAAACCAACTTCAATACACTTTGAAAGAAGACTAAGTTGAATTAGTCAAGCAAAAGGAAAAGCAGCTTGTTTTCCCAAATGATAAAATATGTCACTTAAAAAAATGTGCGCTTGTCTTACATTTCCAATCTTGTGCTAAAACTTTCATAGGCTGCCATTGGGTCTGTGGCTCTGGACACAGCGCGAACCCATGGAGAAAAGCAGTTAGAAAAATATGGAATGGATGTGTTGACAGTGGCATTTTTGTCCATCCTCATCACAGCACCAGTTGGAAGTCTACTGATTGGTTTGCTGGGTCCCAGACTTCTTCAGAAATTTGAACATCAAAATGAAGAGGAAGTTCAAGGAGAGACTTCAGCACACGTTCAGAGGTAAGAAAAGGAAACTGTTGATTGCAATGGCTAGAGAACTGTTTCCAGAAGCTAGCTGTATCAGGAGGGAAATTGAAATATATGATGTTGAGGTTCTAAATTAGGACCAAACACAGTTTGCAGTGGAGAAACAAAGGAAAGACCAAGATCCACACCTCTACTGTTCCCCAGAGCTTGCTCTCAGTTACTGTTAGCTGTTGGTTTCATGATTGGTGGTCTCCAGTCTCTTAGGCTGCAGATCAATTTTGGTTCCTCTTCCTTTCAACAGTTTCTGTCCCATTCCCCTGCTGCTCTGTCCTGTTCCCACCCTGTTTGCCTTGCTGCCTTCTATGAAGTGTTGAAACTGATTGGTCCTATTGACATGGGCTTTCTGCTCCTGGGCATCTCTAAGACTCGCCCATACCATAGTTCAGCACAGAGGTTAAAGACAGATCTGCACCATTGTCCTTCCAAGGCCCCAGGAAGCAGGAAGAAAGATGGAAACTGTGCTATTTATAGTCTTTTGAGACAAGGGCTCAGTATATAGTCCAAGCTGGCTTGGAATTTGTGATCCTCCTGGAGCTCTGAAGTGCTGGGATTATGGGTGTATACCACCACATGTAGCCTAGGTCAGTTTATTTCTAAGGAACTGATGTGGAAATTGGACATATCTTTCCTCTCTTTTGTATTAATGATTTTATCAACTATAAGGCGATAGAAAAGAGTCTCTGGCTCACCTTTAAGTCTTCAAGGAACAAAAGACTCGGAGGCCAGAGATATCATTAC